CTCTCATCTACTTTTGTCAACAAACTTGATATATTACCTTGATAATTTTGTCTCCAGTTTCTGCTGGAGTGAGTGCTTACTGAATAAAGAAAATGAGTAAAAGTATTCAGAAAATGCAGTAACTATAACTAACATTGACTATCTTGTCTTCTTTTGCATGCTTTTCAAAATGGTAGCATAATAATTTTTGAAACATCCTATATTTAATGAAAATCGATCTTAAAATTTATCTGTAAAAATATCAAATGAAAAGTGAATCAAAATCTTCTGTCTTTTTTAAAACCTTCATGTTTATATTTATTCTTTCTAATACTAAACACCTCAGATGGATTCTTACAAGCAAGAAATTTGTGTTAATATAAGAATTCTAGGCCAGACACAGTGGCTCATGCCTGTAATCCCAACACTTTGGAAGACTGAAGTGGGTGGATCACCTGATGTCAGGCATTTGAGACTAGCCTGGCCAACATGGTGAAACCCTGTCTCTACTAAAAATATAAAAATTAGCTGGGCATGGTAGTGGGCACCTGTAATCAGCTATTACTGGGAGGCTGAGGCAGGAGAATTGCTTGAACCTGGGAGGCGGAGGTTGCAGTGAGCCGAGATCACGCCATTGCACTCCAGCCTGGGCAAAAACAGTGAAACTCCATCTCAAAAAAAAAAAAAAAAAAAAAAAAAGAATGCTGTGCCTCGTCATGCATCACCTTAATAATATCATCAAGAACAAATCTAGGGCATATTTATTTTGTTCTGTGTGTCTGGCTCTGTAAATATTTCCTGTGAAAGCAAGTGTAACATATTTCTTCCATTTGAATACCTTTTTAGTTTTTCTGCCAAACATGCAGTTTTATCTCTGGAATTTTTTGTATATGTATAGTAGAAAGTGTTGCAATTTTTATTTCTCTGGGTAAAAAATTCCTGTGGGTTTTATAAAATAGTTTATTGTACTGCTTACGGATTAAGAGGAAAAGACAATTAAAAATGCAGTTACAGCAAAAGGTCAGAATACAATTTTCAATCCTTTATATTTTTCTGATATGTGGCATGGTGTTTCAAAAGTCATATAATATCACAATAATATTTGAATCGCGTTTGTATGTGATTGCTTGTGAATTGTTAAGATAAATTATTGCACAGGCCTACTTTAGTTTAGATTAGTTTGGAACACATCCCAGGGTATTTAATCAGGGTATAATCCTGCATAGTGCAATTTCTAAAAGGTGTGTTTGTGTGCTTTAAATAAATAGCATTTTTTAATAGGCAAAGTTACATTTAAAAAAAATTACTTTTTAAAAAATTTACTTTTTAAAAATTAAAAATTACTTTTTAAAAATGTGTTACAAAATTACTTTTTTAAAAAAAATCTGTTAAAAATGTCTCCCCACTGCACTCTTGTATTATCTGTAGTTTCAGACAAATATAATACTCAATACTGACTTCAAAAAATGTGTTGTCAATGTCTGCAGTATTTGGCATGAACTCTGTTGAAATGTTAGACAATATTCTATTGTAATCTTATATATTTATTTATAACTCATATGAGCAATTCATTTTTCATTTGTAAAATTTGTGGTATGATTAATTTATAGAACTTAAAATAGAGACTGGGAGGTGATATTTTAATAAAAATAAATATTTTAACATTTTATGATTAATTTTACTTTCAGTTTGGAGGATGGATTGTCTACACTTATAGTTAATTAAAAAATATAAATTTAAAAATGTTGTGGTGTACAAGGAAATAAGACATAGGAAAAGTTTGGAATTATACAATATTTTACTAAATGTTAAAAATAGAAAAAATTAATGAAGCATCACAGACTTAAATGAATATACAGTATTTTAAGAATATTATTTAAAATGTTTATGCTCTTTTTACATAGTCACTAATTTCAACTTTTCAAATAAATTGGAAATAAAATTAAATTGTAAAATTCAACTTATTTAATAATAAATTGTGTTTCTTTTAATTGATTTGGTAGCAATTCTGCACATATTCAAAATTTGGAACATGCTCATATCTGGCAGTTATCATTGACCCATTTTTGTAACATTTAAAAATGTGAAGCAATCAAAATAAAATTGTGATAACCATTTCTAGAAAATATTCAGATGTAAAATGAAGAGTATCCTTTACCGTTCTATCAGTATTATTTTGCTCCTTCCTTCTTCTTTATTTAGCTTTATTCAATTTTAGAAACTGTAAATTTGTGTGTTTTCTGAATGATTTTTATAAAAGCTGGCTATTTATCCTAAGTATACCTTGATATTTCTGTAGAAAAGAACCTACTTTATTTTATATTATTTATTATTTATTTTGAGATGGAGTATCGCTCTATTGCCAAGGTTGGAGTGCAGTGGTGGGATCTTGACTCACTGCAACCTCCACTGCCCAGGTTCAAGTGATTCTTTTGCCTCAGCCTCCTGAGTAGCTGGGATTACAGGTGTTTGCCACCACACCCAGCTAATTTTTATATTTTTAGTAGAGACAGAATTTCCCCATGTTGGGCCTGCTGGACTGGAACTCCTGACCTCAGGTGATCTTGCCTCAGCCTCCCAGAGTGCTGGAATTACAGGTGTCAGCCACTGCACGTGGTTGAAAAGAACCTGCTTTAAGAGCAGAAGATCAAACACCGCATGTTCTCACTCATAGGCGGGTGTTGAACAATGAGAACACATGGACACAGGGAGGGGAGCACTACACACTGGGGTCAGTTGGGGGGAAATAGGGGAGGGACAGTGGGGGGTGGGAAGCTGGGGAGAGATAGCAAGGGGAGAAATGCCAGATGTAGGTGATGGGGAGGAAGGCAGCAAATCACACTGCCACGTGTGTTGTGTGTTCCTGTGCAACAATTTTGCATGTTCTTCACATGTACCCCAAAACCTAAAATGCAATAAAATAAATGGGAAAAAAAAAAAAAGAAAAGAACCTGCTTTAAATGATGAGTAGTAAGTTGCTTATTATTAGTCTAAGAAAAACAAACTGAATGTCAGGTACTGCACCTGGCTGAAAAAACCTGCTTTAAATGATGAGTAGTAAGTTGCTTATTATTAGTCTAAATACAAATTTAATGTCTTCTTAGTTGATGTAAAATAGTCAAAATTTCATACCAATCTTCTTGAATTACATGATTTCAGACTTGATTATCATTGTCTTGTCAGCTAAAGAGACAACAAAAACCAAAAACAACCTCCTTGACACACATATGTCCCCTGTTCCCACTCAGGATTCTGGGAAGAAGAGACTCAGTGTCACTGACTCTTAAAGTGAAGGTCCTGGCCCTGGAGTATCACACCTTTTAATGTTATCCTTGATATGTCCATGTTCAAATAATCAGGACTTCTGAGGGACCATCTTAGTAATACATTTTGTAAAATATAGCCTAATTTGGCTAGCACTTAAATTGAAGTCACTTTCCATAAACTCCTTATTTTGATATAGGCTTATGCAATAAATTGTTCATCTTGTTTGACATCTTAGTAAATGAAAATTCCGTAATATTGATTATAATTGTTTGTGTAGATGTTATACCTAACTGCTTTTTTGAATATAGTCCACTTCATTTTATGACCTGGGGAAGTCTAAATAAATCAATTAACCTTCATGAATTTTAAATTTTTTTATAGCAAGAATTCTTTTCAGTCTTAGTTTTTCCTGTATTACAATTTGAGTTTCTTGCCTGGAAAGCAGTTCTTAATTCATCTGCAGTATTTTCCTGTTAAAAAATGTATTACTTTTTCCCTGTCTTTTTCTTATTCTTATTTTAGCTTCGTTTTATTCTATGGCTACAGTTACAACTTTTCCCCATTTATCTGAATATTTTCAGTAGTTCATTTTCTTCATTTGACCTACTAAACAATACTTCTTTTACTATTTCCTATTGCTTCTCAATTAATGTATCTAAGATTTATTCATCCTGATGCAATATTTTTGAGTATTTATTGATTGGTCAGAGCCAGTATTTGTGAAAAGGAAGCCTAGAGTTTGGTAATTAGCTTTTCCTGTGGAGGTTGTTTCTGAAGTACAAACCAACAAACACAAAACACCTGAAGTGCCTTTGGAGGAACGCAACTGAAGCAGCGATGTAAAGTCACAGCACAAAAAAACAGAGGCACTGAGGATATTTGAAAAGAAGGCTCATGGAGCTGTTAGCACCTATCTTTGCCCTGTGACAGCTAGTCATTGCTGCTGTTATTATTTTTTATTATGATAATCCTCCTCATTACTACATTCATTTTAAAGGTCATTAAATGGAGAACAGATATATAGGTTTAAGTGGTGCTACATCTTATAATTTATCATCAGTGGATATGTTGCTAAATGATGTTCCCAAATAGCTCTCCTTGGGGAACATTACACTGGAGTGGTCACATATGAATAAACTCAGACTCAGACTCAGATTTATTACTTTAGTAAATATATGCATGGAAAATTATATTTTATAGCATAAAATAAGCTTAAGGTTTATTACTGAGAAACTAGAGAAAATATGAAGATTGACATTTTTTGTGTGCTTACCTTTTTATTTTTGTTTCTTTCATATGAATATTTTTAATATTGCCTTTAATTGTGGATGAGACAGCCTTCTTTTAAACACTTTCAAGTACTGAGGTTTATGTATATATATATATGTTGATTCTGTAGTTCCTGGTAACATTTTTCTAATAACTAGCCTGCTTAGAACATTTTTGCTAACACTCCAGAGTCAATCATACAAAATATGACAGATATATGGTAAAAGGAAACTCACAATCAACAAATTAGAAATGCTGAGAAACTCGTACTCTGGCTTCACAGAGGCACTCTAGTCTCAGACAAGTTCCTGTCTAGGCATTCATATATTTGACTGTGACTTGTGGGAGTACCATTTTCACAAGAAATTTGCAAGGATAAATATGAAGATGAATACTGTTTTTTTTTCTTAAAGATAATTTAATATACTGAAAAGTTATTTCCAAGAGGGCATAAAAATTTATATTGTTCTTTCCTCTTCAAATAGGTTATGTGGGTATGCAATTTATGTCGAAAGCAACAAGAAATCTTAACCAAATCTGGGGCATGGTTCTTCGGAAGTGGCCCTCAGCAGACAAGCCAGGATGGAACCCTGAGTGATACAGCTACAGGTACTGGCTCTGAGGTACCAAGAGAAAAGAAAGCACGACTCCAAGAGCGATCTCGATCTCAGACGCCCCTGAGCACAGCAGCTGCCTCCTCCCAGGACGGTGCTCCTCCCAGCGCACCACCAGACAGGAGCAAAGGGGCTGAGCCCTCGCAGCAAGCCTTGGGGCCTGAACAGAAGCAGGCTTCATCCAGGTCTAGAAGTGAACCTCCTAGAGAGAGGTAATAGTTCTTTCACCCTGTAAGCAAAAGTCAAGGTTTTGCTAGGAGAACAAACCCATGTTCAAAACTTTAACTTCTACTAAGAGGAATATGTGGAAGTAGTACTTCTCAGGCCACACATGGAAAAGCATCAGGCCTGAGTGGTGTTGTCTATCTCTAGAATGTATTCCTTAGGAGATCTTTGTTGAAAAGCTTTTCTTTCTTGTCATGCACAGACGTAAACATGAACTAAGTCACCCAGCTGAGCTACCGACTTCCAAGGGTGAACTCAGAAAAGTTCTTAGATCATGTTTCACTTAAAACTAGCCCTTTAATTAAGTGTGCTCTGAGAGGATGTGATGGGGGAATCTGACCTGTTGGAAAATATATGTGGACACATCAGAGAAGCCTTCTTTAAGGAAATTTCTTTTATGCTGAGCTCTAACGAGTGACTTTGGGATTAACCAGGTTAGGATGGGTGCTCCAGGATCTGCACAGGCATATGGCCTGAGGGAATAAGCCCAATGTGAGGACCTCCTAAAGGATAGCTACTGGCTACAGTGCAAGAAGTAGAGGGAATGTTGGGGAGAAAAGGCTGGTGAGGTAGTGAAGGGACAGGTTACATTTTTTTTTTTTTTTTCTGACGGAGTCTCACTCTGTCTCCAGGCTGGAGTGCAGTGGCACAATCTCGGCTAACTGCAACCTCTGCCTCCCGGGTCCAAGCGATTCTCCTGCCTCAGCCTCCCGAGTAGCTGGGACTACAGGCGTGTGCCACCACGCCCAGCTAATTTTTGTATTTTTAGTAGAAATGGGTTTCACCATGTTGGCCAGGATGGTCTCAATCTCTTGACCTCGTGATCTGCCTGCCTTGGCCTCCCAAAGTGCTGGGATTATAGGTGTGAGCCACCACACCTGACCCAGGTTACATTTTGTCACTTTTATTGTAGGCAGAAAGGGAAGCCACTGAATATTTAAACAGGGGCTAATATGATCAGATTATTTACTTTGATTGGTTGATTCATTCAAAAATGTATTCATGGGCAAACATGAAACTATGCACTGGGAAAAAGTGTTGACAAGGAAGACAGACCCCTTATCTTCATGAAGCTCATGGTTTGGGGGCCAGGACTTTTGTTAGGACCTGGATTGGGCTTGTTGTTTTTGAATGTGTAACCATCACATGGAGAAAAAAAGCTCCAACGAAAGCTTTTGAACCCCTTTTCAAACAAAGCCCGTATAGTAAAAGAGTAAGGACTTCAAAGTTAAACAGGTCTGGATTCCAGTCCTGGCTTTGCTACAATACGCAGTAAAAACTCACTTGCAGGGTTGTAGTAGGTATTAGAAAAGAACATTTGTTCCTAACCTGGAACGTGGTAGGCTTTCAGTGAATGTAGCTATTATTCAAGCCAGTAGTCATTGTGTATTTACTATAGATAAACACTGCCAGGAACCAGAGGGTATGAAGATGATTAGAACATATTAGAACATACATGGTCCCTTTTCTGACATATCCTAGGGAAGAGACCACACACTGTCCTAGGGAAGACAGACACCTAAGCAATTAACCAGGATGCTAATTTGATCAAAGCTAGGCAATATGTATAGTACTTCGAGAGCTCTAGGAAAGAGGAAGTGACTTCTGAATTAAGCTTTATAAGATACTCAGGAGTTGTAAGGGAGCTAGAGAGAGTATAAGAGGGCAGTACAAGAAGAGAGAATGAGTGTAACTAAACTATTTGGAGAAGGATAGAAAGGACAACAGAGATATCTTAGGGAAGGTAGAATTAATAGCATTTGGTGGAAGAAGAAGAGACAAAAATACTGAAAGTGCAGTTTGGAACTGGTTGGAAGATGATACTTTTAAATAAGACAGAGAATTTGGAGCTGTAAAGTTTCTCAAGAGGAAAGAGTTCTGTTTTACATATAGTGAAAAACTACAAAAATTCAATAACAAGGGCTGAATAGAGACTTTTTGTTCTGACTTCTAGTTAAAATTAGAAGATTGATAGGGACAAATACCTTTACTAATGATATAAATTCATAGGAAAGCAGTGAGGAATTGGGAGGTACAAGAGCAGGAAGAGAAGCGGCCAGTGGTAAAGAGCTGGACAACTTCAGAGAAGCAAGATTGAAAGAAAGACACTCTTTGCTTTAAGTTACTGAAGAATTCTTGACCATATTTTGTACACTGACAAGGAGTTAGTGGAAACAGAACAATTAAAGGTAGAGATGAGAAAAAGTATAATTAGAATCAGTATAAAAGAATAAAAAGAATAAAAGTATAAAATAATCAGAGACACTGGAGAACTCCTTCCATTTGCATAACACTCTACCCTTTCATAAAACGTCTTCACAAATGGTGTCTCTAATCCTCACATGACCCTGCAAGGTAAGTATTATTTATCAGCATTTCAAGAAAAGTAAATTGACTCAATGTAAACTTCTAACAAGAGCAAGTATGCTTCAATGAGCTGCTAAATGTAGTGCAACCATCACACTCTTATGAAAACTATATTTGATAATAATTAATATGTGTTCCCATTAGATCCCTTACATTGTAAAATTCCAACACCCTTACAGTTCCACCTTCAGAACCAAATCCCTTTCACTTCAAAGGGCCATCATAATCTAAATACCTCAAGGAGAGCTCACCATGCTTCTGCTTTTTTTTCCAGTGCCGCTTGAAACCCTTTACCGTTTCACTCTACCATTACTAGCCTTTCCTCAAACTCACCCCAAAACATATCTTAGCAACTGATACTTTGGTAACCCACAATAGAAATTGTCCCACTTTTTACTATCTGGTATTTTTTTTTTCTCAATTTTGTTCATGACATCTGCCTTTGCATTTCCAATCAAATGATGTTACCTCTTGAGAGCCCTCTCTGTGGACCTTAGCATTCCCCGCACAACCTTAGGTCCATTTTAATTGCATGTTAGATCATATAGTGTCAGGACACCTCGTTGTCACCTACTTTTAGTAACTTCTGGTATAACTGCTGGGACTTTTCAAAATCAGGTGCACTTCAGTGTACAGAGAAGGACTTGAAAGGAACAACTGAATGATACATATACAAGATTCAAAGATAGCCAAACCCTTTTCCTTTATTTTTGTATTTGCCAGTGCCTTTGACAGCATGAAAAGAAAAATAGGACTCAAACTGTTTTCCTCTTTAGGACCATATCCTGAAAGGAAGAAGAGGGAGAGAGAATGAGAATGAATAACAATTTCAAAAATTTTAGTATTTCTATTTGTTTTTATCTGAGGAAGGAAAAATGAAAACTATGTGTTAGCCATATTTTTCCTAACCAACTTCCTACAAAAGTGTTTGGGTGCACATGATCAAGTTAAAATTACTTTTCTTCCACTATTCAAGAAGTGCTATTAGATTTGATTTCTCAAATGGACATGCTTGTATTAACATTGCTTTAAAAGTTTCAGCTATAATAAAAGATTGCCAGTATGTATTATCCAAATATATATCAAGTATATATTAATTTGAAGTGATATGTATATATTTTGCTCCTATATTATCTATATTATTTTCATCTAAAACATATTTAATTCTTTGTCACAAGCAGAAATGAGCACAAAACTTGTTCATTTATTGAAATTATTAAGTTTTAATTGATCTGGTTAATTTGTTTTAAAAATTTTTAATGTGAAACCAAATTTTTAAGTCCCTGAATATATTGTCCCGCAAAGGAGCCATATTTAAAAGGCTCATCAGATATAGCCTTTTAATGTGGTTATCATCTACATTTTTAATTACACATCAAATTATAACTAATTATTGTAACAAATGATTTAAGATTGGAATGAGAAGAAAACATGATTTTTATGTCTATTCTCTAAGTTTATAAATTGCTCTCCTTGACGTTCCTTTATATATCATAGAAAGAAGACTCCAGGGCTTTCTGAGCAGAATGGCAAAGGAGCCCTGAGGAGCGAGCGGAAACGCGTGCCAAAGACAGCGCAGCCCGGGGAGGGGGCCGTCGAAGAACGGGAGCGCAAAGAAAGGCGGGAAAGCCGAAGGCTTGAGAAAGGGCGATCACAGGATTATGCAGACGTGCCAGAAAAACGGGATGAGGGCAAAGCGGCGGATGAGGAAAAGCAAAAGAAAGAGGAGGAATATCAGACCAGGTACCGCAGCGACCCGAACCTGGCTAGGTATCCGGTGAAACCGCCGCCTGAGGAGCAGCAGATGCGCATGCACGCCCGGGTGTCCCGCGCGAGGCACGAACGGCGCCACAGCGACGTGGCGCTCCCGCGCACCGAGGAGGGCGCCGCGCTGCCGGAGGGCAAGGTCGGCAAACGTGCGCCGGTGGCGGCCAGGGCCTCGCCTCCGGACTCACCGCGGGCCTACTCGGCTGAGAGGACTGCGGAGACCAGGGCGCCAGGCGCCAAGCAGCTAACGAACCACAGCCCGCCAGCGCCCAGGCATGGGCCGGTTTCCGCAGAAGCCGCTGAGCTCAAAGCCCAGGAGCCCCTCAGGAAGCAGAGCCGCCTGGACCCTAGCTCGGCAGTCCTCATCCGGAAGGCGAAGCGTGAGAAGGTGGAGACCATGCTGCGGAACGACTCGCTGAGCTCAGACCAGTCTGAGTCGGTGCGGCCGTCCCCGCCCAAGCCGCACAGGTCCAAGAGGGGCGGCAAGAAGCGGCAGATGTCGGTGAGCAGCTCTGAGGAGGAGGGCGTGTCGACTCCGGAGTACACCAGCTGTGAGGACGTGGAGCTGGAGAGCGAGAGCGTCAGCGAGAAAGGTAAGGGGGCGGCGCTGGCCGCGCGGGCACCGCAGCCAGGCGCAGAGGCGTGTGTGCCGGGCGAGGTGCTGGATTCAGCAGTGAGGCTGGGAATTCTCACAGATAGATGGCGTTACCTCCAGTGGAAGGTCTTTTTTTAAAAATTAATTTAATTTGATTGATTGATTTGTGAGATTTTAAAACACAACAAGCCCCTAGTTTAGGCTACAAGGGTTCTTGGTGATATTGCGTCCTGTCATTCTGTAAATTTGGTATGCAGTCTAATAATTTTAAGATATTTTAGGGTGGATTCATTGTTCGGTGAAAAACAATTTATTTGCTAGAAAATGAAAATTATGCCTTATAAAGGAAAAATACATTTAAAAATGTCAGTTATGTAATATTCCAATTGTAAAGGTAGTTTTTTTTTTTTGAAACTTCAAATTAATCTTTCTCACAATTTGTGAACAAATTACAGTTTATTTTTGAATAACACGGATTTGAACTGCACTGGATGGGTCCACTTATACGTAAATTTTTTTTTCAATAAATAGACGATTTTTAATTTTTTTTGAGATTTGCAGCAATTTCAAAAAACTTGTGGATGAACAGGGTAGCCTGGAAATATTTTAAGAAAATAAGAAAAAGTTAGGTATGTCATGAATGCATACAATATATATACTTACTAGTCTGTTTTATCATTTACTACCATAAAATATACATGAATAGATTATAAAAAGTTAATAAAATGTATACATACTTATAGACTGTATATGGCACCATTTGCAGTGGGAAGAAATGTAAACACATGTAAAGGTGCGGTATTAAATCTTAACTATAAAATGAACTATAGTGCATACTGTATTACTGTAATAATTTCTTAGCCTCTTGAAGTGCACTTTAGTATTGCATGCATCACTTTAAAATGCCCTGCGATGCTTATCATCTCCCTTTGAGCAGTTTATTTCTCCAGTAAATTGCATGGTATCTTGTTCTCGCATATATTTGTGATGTTTAGTGCAATATTATTAACCTTGAATAATACCATGAGACACATACAGAGTGTCATTAGTGACACTAGAAGTTCTCCCAAGAAGCAAAGTCATGACATTAGAATTGCTTGATGCGTATTGCAGATTGAGGTCTGCAGCTGCAGTTGCCTGCCATTTCAAGATAAATTAATCCAGTGTAAGGACCACTGTTGAAAAAGAAATTTGTGACGCTGTTGCTGCAGCTATGCCAGCAGAAGCAAAACCCTTACACTTTTTGTGAAAAACTTTTATCTTGCATTACAAGTGCAGCTTTTATGTGGGTGCAGGATTGCTATAAGAAATCATATCTATAGACACTATAGAAAAAAGAAAAGCAAAGTCAGCATATGACAAAGCAGAAGAATAGTGAAGGACCTAAAGCTAGAGAATTAAATGCCAGAAAAGGATGGCTTGATCATTTCAGAAAGAGGTTTGGCTTTTAAAAAATGTCAAAATAAAAGTAGAAGCAGCTTCTGTGGACCAACAGAGATAAGTTCTAGATGCCATTAAGAAAACTATTGAGGAGAAAGGATATGTGGCTGCAGAGGTTTTTAATGCAAAGTGCTTTATTTGGCAAAAAATAAGTGCCATAAAAGACATTTAGTAGTCAGGAAGAGAAGCAAGCGCTAGGATTTAAGGCAGGAAGGGATAGCCTAGCTCTACTGTTTTGTGCAAATGCAGTAAGGGCTGCCGCTAGGTGTAAATCTGCTAACCCCCGGAGCACTGAAGGAAAAACATAAACACTAACTGCCAGCCTTTTGGTTGTACAAGAAGGCCTAGACAAGAGTTCTTTTTCTGGATGGATACATAGATGTTTTGTCCCTCAAGTTAGGAAGTACATTGCTAGTAAGGGACTGTCTTTTAAAGTTCTCTTTATATTGAACAATGCCCCTAACTACCCAGAACCCCGTGAGTTCAACACAAAAGGTGTTGAAGTGGTTTACTTGCCCCCAGACACAAAGATTCCAATTCAGTTTCTGGACCTTAAAGGCTCATTTCACATAGTACTGTATGGACAAGATTGTAACACTATGGAAGAGAACCCCAATAAATAGAACATAATGAAAATCTGGTAAGATTACACCACTGAAGATGCCATCATTGTTATAGAAAAAAAAAAAAAAAAAAAAAGAAAAACATGAAAGCCATCGGACCCCAAACAATTCATTACTTCTAGAGAAAAGTATATCAGATGTTGTACTTGACTTCACAGGATTTATGAAAAGGCAAGTCAAGGAAATCATGAAAGAGATTATGGATATGATGGAAAAAAAGTGTGGAGTGAAGGGTTTCTAAATATAGATTCCAGAGTTAATAGATACCACAGCGGAGGGATTAACAGAAGATGACTTGATGGATGAGTGCTTCTTAACCAATGACAGACAGTGAAGAAGAAGATATAAAAGAAGCAGTGCCAGAAAACAGGCTGACATTAGACAGTCTGGTAGAGGGTTCATGTTATTCAAGACTCCTTTTGACTTCTATTACCATATGGATCCTTCTGTGATAGAGACAATGACACTAAATCAAATGATGGAAAAAAGATTGGTACCATACAGAAATATTTTAGAGAAATAGAAAAGCAAAAATGTCAGACAGAAATTACCATGCATTGCCATAAAGTTACACCAGGTGTGCCTGCCTTTCCTGCCTCCCCTTTCATCTCCTCCACTTTTGCCTCTTACATCCCAAGACAACAAGCCTCTTTCTCCTCCTCCTCGATGTGAAGACAATGAGGATGAAGACCTTTTTGATGACCCACTCTTACTTAATGACTAGTAAATACATTTTCTCTTCCTTATGATTTCCTTAATAACATTTTCTTTTACTTTGTTGTAAGCTTACTTTATTATAAGAATAGGGTATATGACACATATAACATACAAAATTTGTGTTAATTGACTATTTATACTATCAGTAAATAGTAGGTTCTGGTCAACAGTAGACTATTAGTAGTTAAGGTCTTCTGGATCAAAAGTTATGCTCAAATTTCTGACTACTTGGGGGTCACAACTCTCCTAACCCCTGGGTTCAAGCATCAACTGTACTTCCCAAGTATTGTATCAAGCAAGGTGTTATGTGTTGTGTTTAAGGTAGTAATTTTGAGGTTAAAAAATTTATACTCCAAAAGTTGTGGGAATATTATGTGGCAGTCTAAATTTCCTATGTATGTTACTGTAGGCCCCATGTAGCTATTTCAATTTATTAAAATAAAATGAACTTAAAAGTTTCCTTCTTCTGAAGAACTAGCCAAAAAGCCTGGTGCTGAGGAATGATTATCACAAAAAGTTCCATTAGATGGTGCTTATATAGAAAATGCTTCAATATAATATAAAAATTATGTGCTTATTTTGAAGATTCTCCTCATTTTGCTTCTGTTCACTGAGATTTAAACTGGCCACAATCCTAAATTTAATGGTGCTGGTCATCATCCTTGTAGAAGTGTTGGGGTCCTTGAGTGTTTCTTGCTGTTTTTGTATTTAGGGGGACTCTTTGCAGCTTTTTGGCTTTCTTTATAATTGCCAAATTACATAATAAATTATATATAAAATATTATAATTTTATTTAAAAATTACTTTGCTTCCTCATTCTATGTCCAAACTGCATGTATATGTGTCCCCCCATATAGATGTGCCCACATAATCTCACACTATATATAGGAACAATTAAGAAAGCTCATTCTGACCAGGCGCAGTGGCTCATGCCTGTAATCCCAGCAATTTGGGAGGCCAAGGAGGGCAGATTGCCTGAGCTCAGGAGTTTGAGACGAGCCTGGACAACATGGTGAACCATCTCTACTAAAATACAAAAAATTACGGGGGGTGTGGCAGCTTGTGTCTACAAGTCCCAGCTACTCAGGAGGCTGTCAGGAGAAATACTTGAACCCAGGAAACGGAGGTTGTAGTGAGCGGAGATCATACCACTGTGCTCCAGCCTGGTCAAGAGAAAGAAACTTTGTCCCAAAAAAAAAAAAAAAAAAAAAAAAAAAAGAAAAGCTAATTCTGTTATTATTGCTGCAACCTAACTTAAAATAGGTATCTTTGGAATGTAATATATGTTTATGGGATCAGTCAGCTCACCTGCCAATGACTTCTCTTCATAAGTTGCATATTATTTATGGGCTTGTGAAAAGTCCGATGGCAGGTAAACTCTCTTGACTGCCTTTTGTGTCTTAATACTGTTTTATGAACACGTATTTTTTTCCTGAAGTAATGAAGGCATTAAATAAAAATGTAGATATACTTTGTGTCCAGATATCTCCTTTTTTTTTTTTTTTTTTTTTTTTTTTTTGAGACAGAGTCTCACTCTGTTGCCAGGCTAGAGTGCAGTGGCGCAATCTAGGCTCACTACAACCTCCATCTCCCAGGTTCAAGCGATTCTCCTGCTTTAGGCTCCCAAGTAGCTGGGACTACAGGCATGTGCCACCAGGCCCAGCTAATTTTTGTATTTTTAATAGAGATGGGGTTTCACCATGTTGGCCAGGATGGTCTCGATCTCCTGATCTCATGATCCACCCACCTCGGCCTCCCAAAGTGCTGGAATTACAGGTGTGAGCCACTATGCCTGACCCAGATATCTGTTGATGGAGATGGATATGCATATTAGTGTTCTCTAGAGAGACAAAACTATAGGATAGATGCATATATAAAGGGGAGTTTATTAAGGAGTATTGAGTCACACCTTCACAAGGTGAGGTTCCACGATAGGCTGTCTGCATGCTGAAGAGCAAGGAAGCCAGTTGAAGTCCCAAAGCTGTAGAACTTGGAGTCTGATTATTGAGGATAGGAAGCATCCCACACAGATAGAAGGCGGGAAGGCTAAACCAGTCTAGTCTTCTCATGTTCTATCTGCTTTTATTCTGGCCGTGCTAGCAGCTGATGAGATTGTGCCTGCCCAGATTGAGGGTGGGTCTGCCCTTCCCAGTCCACTGACTCTGATGTTAATCTCCTTTGGCAACACCCTCACAGACACACCCAGGAATAATACTTT